TATAATGTATGCTATACGAAGTTATTACGTCTCTCTCTCCCCTTCTCTCTCTTTCTCTTTCACCGTGACTGACGAGCGCATACATACACGAGAGATATTCGTCACAAAGGTGCAGGCGGCTGTACATCAGATAGGAAGTGGAAACCCAGTTACTGCACCACGGGCCACGATGGAAGAACCCAGAGTACCGGAGTACAAGTGTATCGCGGTAACTGAGTAATCCCCGAACGTTATTTGCAGTTATTTCTCGCTTCGCTGAGTAGACTGAGAGAGTGAGAGAGAGAGAGAGAGAGCGAGAGAGAGGAGATTCGCGGGGAGGATGGCATTTTCATTTTCGCAACATCTGTAGATCCGTCGCTGTATGCGTCTGTGTGTACGTGCAAGCTTCGCGAAACTGTCCTTTCCTCCTTTTTCCCCTTCAGATACGGAAACTCGGACCTTGTTGTTGGAACACAATAAGATAACCGAGCTACCGTTGATTACAAAAATACCGAGCTCCAAAGCGAATACTCGGGAGTACCGCATTTCGAATTTTCACACAGACCGTTCCACCTGTTATAAAATTTTTATGAGAAACTCGGAATCGGTGCTTTCTCAATAGAAAGTTTTGCGGGAAGCCGCCGGTCGTCGGTTTGTAATTTACAGAGATCTCTACGACATTTAAGACTTAGATTTCTCTGAAAGGATAAATTTCTCAGTTAAAGTTAAATGTATTGATATCAAATTTAACTTTCAGACTAATTGAAAATAAGGATCTTTTATCTGTTTCTAAGTTTAATTCACTAATTCACTATTCATCACTTTATCTTCAGCGTTTAGTTTGCAATTTAGCTAAAATTAATATTAAAATGATGCTTCTCTCAGTGCATATTTGACGCGTAGATTTGGTTACATCTTCTACATGTCCGTGTTCATTACAGTGCAGCGGTACTTCTCTCTGCTGTAATTTTAATCGAAGTCCCGCTTTGGAGACGAGAGTAAATCACCGCCGATCAATTAAGATCTTTTGCTCGATCGTGATTACTGAAAATCCGAATCGCGTCGGTGAATTCCCTTCGGCCGAGCTTTCCGTATTTCGAGAGCAACGAAGATACTCACGGAATCTCTCCTCCGCCATCCATTTAAATGCAATTAAGCAACGTCACGTAGGAGCGAAAACGGGGGTCGGAAACGTTTAAATCAAACTACGGCTGGTTTAGTTAGTTTGGACCGCAACTTTTAATTGCGCCTCGGCCGTCTGGAGGGCCATTAAGTTCCGGAAGAGATATGTTACTTCTTTTCCCTTCCTCAGCACGTGACAATTTTTCTCTTTCGCGTTTCTGCGCGCTGTCTTTTTTCCCCGAAAAAATCGTAAACATTATGAAATATATTTATTTATCTTTATTTTAACACCTTTAACTTTGAAAGGACTAACTTTCTGTTCATCAATAATTATGTCAAACAGTTTGGAAACACTGCTGAAATCTGCAATAATAAATAAATCGGTAGTAACAATGACCTAATTTACATCGCTCCTTGAAAACGACTGACATTTAGATTTCTACGCCGTTTACATTAATTAAAGAACCCCAGTTGGCATTTTTAAGAGCCAGTGAGCACAGCTACTGCCATTGCATCAAAATGCCAAGTTCTGACCTTATATTGTTAGAGCCCTTCGGGACGCTCTGTGATTAAATCGACTACCGTGTACACATTATGACGTGTATCTCTACGTCTATCATCGAAATAACTTAACCTGGTAACATTTCGAGGAGGAATTACTTCAGCGCGTAAATATTGCTGATTCACTGAAGCGACCTTATTTCTAAACGATATCGTTGATAAATTCATGTGTCGTTGACACAATGACACAGCTATTTGAGACAGCTATTAGTTTTGTCCTGTCGAAAGTGAAATATTTAATTTTAATCATCGCATAATTTTAATTTTAAAAATATTAGCCGCAGTTTTAGAAGAATGTTGTATCTCTTATTAAATATATTGACATAAATCAGTAAATATCTTGTGGATGTAATTAATGTTTTGTTTGTTTGACATTTTAGAAGTCGATTATGTTACAAGAATTTTTGCTAGATGAGAAATAAGAAGATGTTTCAAGTCCAAGTGTTAAAATATGTTCTGGAACGTCAGATTTTTATCTCGCGCGAGCTACTGTCTCAAGAAATTCATCGAGCTGGATGCCGAAATTTTCACGACATCTCATTCTTCCCTTCGTTTAATCTGGCTACCTCTTACTTAATTCTATTTGCACCCCGACGTCGCCCGCGTCGCGGCGCGTCGCGTCGCGCCGGCGAGAAATACAACATCACGGGCCGAAATGGAGGTTCGCTCCATGGAAGTCGAGGGCGGCGACTGTTGATTTAATTATAATCGTTAGTCCGGACCAGCTCCGCCCCGGGACCCTCAAATCCAATACAACTCCCGCCGTCTGCTATCATCCCCCGCATCCCGACAGTTCTCTTTCTCTCTCTCTGTCGTATTTCTCTTCCGCTTCGAGCTTTCGTGATGCTCTAACTTTCATGTCCAGTTTCGCTTCTGACTTGTGACCAAGGCCATAAATTGTATTCTTAGAACAAGATCTATTTTTGCCTTACCAAAAATATATTCTACAAAATTGATGCAAAGATGAAAACGTACGCCAAACAGAAGAAATGTATTCTGAAACAATTTTCTCGTATCGAATTTTTCAGCAAATCTTTAAAACCACAAATTTAGATGAATTGCAATTATTCGCATTATATTTTTATCTTCTTATATTTACCAATTAGCGTGACACTATATTTTTCAATTGAAAAGTTAACATATTGCGTTTTAGTTAAGTAATGTTAGAGTTTTGTCTCGCAAATCTGCTAAATCGATATGAGACTAGCATAGATGCGACGCTTTTCATTGGCATGAGAGAGCAAGGATCAATATGTTTTGACGAAACTTGCCAAACGGCTGGAAAAAAAATGATTTTTATGGCTACCGTCATGTGAGGTGAAAAGCACCGGGGTTCTGATGCAACCTATCTGACCCTCCCGCCCTCCCGCCGGGTTGAAACTCGTTAGCGCCGTTACGGTGTTCACAGTATGGCCACCTGAATGGAGGAGCTTACGCGAAAATTGTTTTATACCTCGCACGCGAAATTGAGAAGCTGCAAATAATGTTTCGCCGCGGTGCGCGCCAACATTTCTGACATTTCGCGCAGACTCCTTCAAATTTATATATTACGGTCAAAATCAATTGCTTCCTCGAAAATGTGGAAAACAAAGAAAAAGTTGCTACTACAATATTTTCTTCTCAAATTATAAAAACATTTTTTCTCATTATAATTATATCAACTATACACTTTCATGAGGTAAAAAGCCTTTTTTCTCATAAATATCTTTGCATTAATTTAAGATAAAAATTCTGTTGTGCAAATCTACATCTTATAAAATGACCATGATGTTTATAAAAAATAAGACGAAAATCACGCCAAGCAATTCGCTTGGGAATACAAATAAATGGATTAGCGCAGAAGCTCGTAATCAGTCCGTTATGAAATCGCATCGATTTCCACGGACACCGGCGGTATCGGCGGCATCGGCGTAAAAAGAAAAATCGTCGATAATGCTCGGAGGATTGGGAGCGAGAGTAACTCTTGGACCGCGCGCGCCATCGGATACGTAACGCCCTTCTGGGGCAAATCCGGCATTATCGAGAGTATAATCAATTTCCCGACATAATACCGGGACGGCCCGCAAGCTCGAGCGAGATCGTCCGACCGGAAGCGATTCCGACTAACGCGATTGCGTATTAACTCCACCGTGCGCCACCGACGGTGCATCCCAATCCGTTCGACTTCACAATCGCGTTCACACATATCTGTCAATCCACCCGTCGTCTCTGATACATCTTTTATATATTTACGCTCCTACTTGAGCCTGCGACATTTTAATATTTTCCTTTCTTACGCTTCTTTCTCTCGAGTAGCGCGATCATCTATTTCTTTCCATTTTTGCAAATTTTCTCCTTTTACATTCGCAGGATCGATCCAATGTTAACTTGCGGAATTCTCTGTCAACTTCTCTGCCCGCTCGCGGTGGTCGATTTTAGTCGCTGGCCGTAAACTCGCCCGTAAAAAACAATACGAGACACAAAATCCCCGCAAAAGAAAGAAAACAATCGTATCGAGTGCAATATACCGCATTCAGTCGTCGGTCCCGCAGCCCCGATGTACGGCCGGGTCGAAAGTTTCGCCGTTAACGTAAAAGCCATTGTGTATAGCGGCGTGCCGGAGGACGGGGGCAGACGGAGGGGGAGGGTGCCGTCCGCGCGCTGCACGCTACGATTGTTTCGCCGTAATCCTTTATTGGATCAACGGGGCTGGAAACAATCGAGCGCGCCATAACGCGAGGATGGGCAGACGGCCGTGTCGGTCGGGCGGGCTTTTCGGTCCGCCGGATGGTACCGGATGCGGCGGCGGTCGCACATCGGTCCCCGCGTGGGTGGCGGAGGAACGCGCTAGATAAGCGGGGGCGGCATCCGATGATGGGGACGGAGCAGGATTTCTACCTACTTTGCCGGGTGAACGGAGTTACAAATGGGAGAACGCGGAACTCATCCGCAAGCGGGAAACTCTCCGTTTCTTCTCTGTCTCTGTTTCTTTCTCTCTCTCTCTCTC